GGCCTGTTCACATTGTCCTTCGGCGAGGCCTCGCCGCAGCCTCGCCGAAGGTGCAGCGCAGACCAGTCTGAACGTGCCCATAGAAAAGAATGGAACGAATGTCTACGCTGAAGCAACGCCGCAGCTGCGGCGCACCTACGCAAGGAGTTCGAAGGAGCCAAACTTTTGTTACGGATAGCCAATGAGGAGTTGTTGACGTACTTACGGAAAGCCAATAGGAACGCCGATTGATATGGCGGCCAGCACGAGCTCTGAAAAGCCTGAATCAGCCTAGCCTATATGATTGACTCTAGGCTTGTGTAGTCGCTTATGGTCTCAAAAATGCCCTTCCAACAAATATCGTTATCGTCATTTCAATACCAGGTCTACCACCAGTTTGTGTGATAGGCGTTGCCCGCCTAGTCCTCGTCAAGCAAAGCTGGATGCACAAAGACCTGTTGAGGTCGGCCTAAGTTCAAAGGAACGGGAGAAGGGAAGGGGAAAGAGAAAGAGTACCTTGGCGTTGGTCTAAGGTTGACATAAGGCCTTAGTATAAGCCTACACTCAAAATTAGGTTGTGCCAACTATGATAATGGGACCGTTAGATTCGGCGTACACCGTTTTCGGATTGAATTCGTACCTTCCCCTGTAGCAGAGAATGTAGAAAACAATTTCCAGAAAGTTCTGCTACGTCAGATGATAGTAATGGCCACCTAAGATCTTTCTCATCCATTTCTCAAATCTCTCGCATCCAAAGCTTTCGATTATACTGCTTCCTGCAGTGGGCAATTGTAGAGGAGCAGGAGTAAGAGCGCTCGTCTCACGTACGCTGCCATCTTCATTCCAGCATCGAACTGAGATTGGTGCAATCTCATTGTCTGCTCACGTTTACCATTGGTTCTCCGTAAGTGAGCGCCGGATAATGTGAACGAGAACCTACGCCGCANTTTGCTTCCATATCATCGGAGGGTCAAGGAAGCACGAACGGTTGGGCACGAAGTCAAAGACGCGGGGCGAACTGTCTCCATGTTCAGGAGGCAAGAAGCGCCCCGGTATTACAGTCCAAAATGGGGAAATTCATGTCGTCGGCGGTGGTAGTGCAGATGTTCCTGAATGAACTAAATCAGTGTAAAAAAAAAAAAACTCAGTCCGTGGGGGTCTATCGAGCAGCATTCATTGAAAAGAAGTTACTCATTGGATATGGACAAATGGAACGCTTGTTGGTAGCGGAGTGGGGGATACACTCCAGCGCTGTCTTTCCTGATCATCATATCCCCATATCGATGTCATCAAATCGAACTCCTCCTGTTTTTAAATTCATTATTTGGACTAGTCGTCTTTTGCAGATGGTTTTCATTCTAAACGAATAGCAGCTGAATTAATGAGTATCAATATCCGGAGGCTTTGCACTAAAAATTTCCCTTGGTTTACATCAACCTTAGTCTGCAATTATTGCAAGCCAATAAGCCTGCCAAAATCTATTACTTCGAACCATACAGTAGTTTAAATGATATCATTTGATAAATGTGACATTTGAAGTAGACAGTACCTTCAGAAGACCAAGGGAAATTTTGAAGAACATTGAGAAAACTCAGAATTGAAACTCATTGATTCACCTCTTGTTCATTAGTAATTAGCTATTGAAAAGCATATGCAAGAGATGTTCAAAGTTAAATAGGCCTGGTTCATGTCTCTGTGAGCCTGAAAGACCCGCACGAGACACCCTCCGAGAACATGTCCTGGCTACATTCCTATTCCGATTTGGAGATTTTTTCGTTAAGATCAGGTCATGAGCTTCCAGGACGATGTAGTTAGGACAAAGTTGGAGATATTTTGTCCCGAGATGCTTCTTCGTATCTCGAAGGTCTTCTTTGTACTCAGGAAATCAGGAGTAACGAAAGACTGGAAGACATCCAAAAAATTGAGTTGACTTCCAGCAGCAGCGAATTCTGGAGCACCTCACCTTCTTCTTCTCTTTCCCTGGAGACTTCCCGTTTAGCTTATGTAGTGATCCTTGTTCCCGTCCTTGTCATGAAACTTCAGACACTGATTGGCCATAGGGCAGGAGGGACACCGCTACTTGTGGTAATAAAAGATTCAGAAGGATGTGAGATCCGGAACCTTCTCGACAGAGACTTCCTGAGCAGCCACGGGAATTTATGGAGAACACACATTTGTCCTGCATCCCTGTCATCTTCCTGAAGAGAAGAGAAGAGAGTAACTATCAATTTCTATCCCTCCCAGATCCTTCTATCCCTCCCTTACGAAAGGAAGATGGCAGGCGTTTGGGCGCTACACATGTATCAACGTGAGTTCACTTCAATTGAAGTGTTTTCGAGTCACATTCAAGAGCATGATCTAGGGGGAAAGACTCCTAAAGTAGCTTATCTTTTGCTAAAGGCAGCTCTCTAATAGCCACTTGTGTTAAATATATATCAATTTTCTATCACATCAGCTCTTCTCACTAGAGTGAAATAGAAAACGTCAGTCAGTGTTCCATTAATCTAAGTGTGCCTCAATGACCATATGAGTATCAAACAACAGCTAATTTTGAGCCAAATTTTATCTATATATTGTACATACAGATACATATACCACGTACTGCCTGTAAAAAGTTTGTTACCCCGGTGATTTTCTGGAACAAAATGGAATTATGCCTTTCACTTAGTTGGGGAAGTTTCAAATTTTGAAAATAATTGGCACTCTTGCAGTCCAAAAGGGAATGGTTACAGAAATAAGTTTTATGAAATAAGTAATGTTCAGAATGCCATTATAGATGTATTACACCGTAATTGAAGGTAAAAGTAGTAGGAATCTGAAGTTCCTTCAGTAAATTATTCAAATCTTGGGGGTATCTAGGAATATGTTCAGCTCCCCTATGAATGTACACAAGCATGGAAGCACCTCTTCGTGCTGCTGTTGGATCTCTGGATTTGCCCCTCGGGACACTGGCCCATTACTGCGACAAAGTAACTTCACAATGCTGACAAGGAGTCTAAGGACGTATTGGGAGGCGGTAGACACCTTTGCCTTAAACATGTTCAATGGCATCAAGTTTGCTGAAATGGCTGGCCTGTTGAACCAGACTTTTTGATCCTGCTGCAGCTGTTTGCTTGAGCACCTATGCCCGATGAGGTGTTATCTTGGAGAGCTGCTCTTTAATTCCATTTTTGCAAGTATGACAGGAGAACAGGTTGCTGAACTTATCTCTAGCGTTGCCCTGACAAATTTCCATGGACAACCTGCAGTTGACATCTGCCGCGGTCAATGGCACCTCCTCCAATCACTTCTCTCACTTCAGTTAGTTGCGAATCCTCGTGAATGAAATGTGTGCATCCAGAGCTTGAGAGGGGTAGGGGCTGGTGCTATTCTCAAGATAGAGGGAGACTGGGAATGAAGGGATGGACGAGAAGGCGAAGGCAGAGAAAGGAAGGAGAAAGAAACTGTTTGCAGGGAAACAGATTTGAGATGCAGATCCCCTCTGTCATCGCTTTCTTCCCCTAACATTTTCCTTCGCATTCACGATTGACACCTTCAGGAGGAGTAGTACTTTCAAGTCCAAGCCCATCCTATCTATCACATACCCAAGAAGCATAAAAGCAAACGGCAACCACCATCAGTCATCCCAGCATCGGCGAAGAGAAACATTTCCAATGCCGAAAGTTTACATAAGTAAATGCTTGAAATATTTGGAGAGACTCTGATGGGAAAATGCAGGCATCGACAGGTGGAAAATGGATATTTTAATATTATTAAGATAGGAGGGAATATCTAAAAATCATTGTATAAGAGCAAGACACTAAAACGAAGTAATGAAAGGACACACTGGAGGAATTCACATGATTGGACATCAAGGGTTCTCCTCCAGGTTGCAATTCACTTGAAGTAGGGAAATTCCAACTCAGGAGACCTCATTTGAGTGGCATTTCTGACACTCGGCTTGGTTGCTTACCAGGACAATGGGAGCATCCTTATTCCTCATATGTGAGTCCTTATCGCTATCTTTTCTTAGGTTTCTGAAGTCTATTCCACATTTCTTGTCATTCCTAGAATTTAAAAAATACATATAGAAATTTGAGACATTGCTTGAATTATAGTATCACATTTTCCTTCTGCAAGTTTCGATCATGATCTGAGAAGTGCACATGACTTTTTAAGTAACGAACATGGCCTTACGTATATCAGGTGACATTAAATTCCACCACCCACATTTCTTTATTCGCGATCATCTGTTTGGAACTCTATTGCTACAGATTTTGGGCGCTCAAAGTACCCATCCAAAACCCAACTTGTATTCGCACCTGTGCAATCAGCTTAGATGCTAGTTTTATTATTGCCGTCTGACCAATGTATGTCAATTGAATATTTTCAGTCATTTTGGGGAACTTCATGAAATGGAAAGAAAAAGTAGATGAAGAAAAATGCCTCTCACACCACACTGTATAGGATGGTGCCTCCGGCTGAAATCCATACTTCAGTGCCTGAAGAATTTCAACCAGCAAATGGCTCACTCATATAAGTGACTTAACAGGAGCATTATTACTGGAGCTTCAAACCCGAGAAGCGTATGTTAGAAGATAATTGTATGGCAAAGCTAATGTCAAGAATTTGCTAGGTCTTTTGGAAAGTGATTTTTTTGGAATCAAAAGAGTTGAGAAGTATTTGACATAGGACACTGTGAAGAACAGTACAGCTTTGTCTGATATATGTACCAGGCTTCACCATAAGAGACATTACGCATGTGCGGGAAATTTAGCACGTGTGTTCGCACAAATGCTAAATGAAATAAAAAGGCATTCAAAAGTGCCTCTTTCAGTTCCACCCTTGGAGAACAGCCTCATGGAAATGGGGCACCACTAAGAATTTTACCTCCAGTAAACTCTCGACCTTTATTTCATCTTAGAAATTGTGGAGGCCATACTTTCTGCAATTGTCCGTGGGGTAACCTCGTGTCCTTTGGGAGATAAAGGGTGTGAATAGGAGGAAGAAGTGTACAAACCATTTTTCTCGAAATCTTCCAATTATGGATCAAATGGATAAAAATCTCCCTCCAGCTTCTCTGCCATTTCTGATATGGTTCGGGCATCTTTGTGACTTTCCATCCATCGGCGAGTTTGATCTTTTTCACTAGGAGTCTCTGTCACGACGTCGATAAATTCAGTGAGTCCTAAAGGATTGCGTTGAAAAGCCATTTTCTTGAGTTTCTGCATGCACTCCTGAGCACTCTTCGTCAGTCTTAGGGCGTGGATTTTCTCCTGTTTGAATTGCTTGAGGAATACCTGTACAATCTCCTGAGAATTCATTTTCCTCCCAAGGACTTTCTCGTACTTTACCTTCATTTCAGTGTACCTCCTGACCTCCTGTTCTTGATGCCATTCCAAGCGATAATCATTGTTGCAATGTTCGGATGCTGGACATTTTCCTGGACAGACTTTGCAATGTGTCCTTGTCTCATTCATAGCAGAACATCCACCCTTTTCCTTGTTCTTAGGGACGTGGCAAGGATAATGACAGCTGATGTGGCATATCAGGCAGTTTGTAACATTTTCGCCTGGACCCAAGCGGACTTTTTTCTGCTTTTGGAGAACCACTTTGTATTCGAAATCCATATTGGCTTCAGCTTCTGCTTCGTGCTGTTTCAAAGCTGCATATTCTTGCTGCAGCTGCTCCAATCGTCCAAAAACTGACAAAAAAAATTATTTAAATAACCGAAGCACACATTCTTCCATTTGGAAAGGAAGGCATTAGAGTTTGTCTTACCTGTTCTCATTTGATGTATAGTATCCTTGGTGGAAGCTTTTAAGAGTTCAAGTTCCTTCAGATCTGTCCTCGTCAGCGCCAAGTTGATGGAGTTAGTGTTTTGAAGATTCAGGAATAATTTTTTGTAACCTATATTTCCCATAGTCCAGAATGGCTTCCAATCTCCCTTGAGAAAGAGCGCGCAATTGTTGAACTGAATGGGTTTCTGCAATGGCATGCCCATGTCTTTCAGAGCGAGTAAGACTGGAGGCATGCTTACGTCCGAAAATGTGGTCAGAACAAAAATATTTTCAACATGTTTTCCAAATATAGCTAAAAGGGAGTTAAATATATTTTTTTGATTGTACGTGAGTCTGGCCTGGGAGGCCTGTACGACAAAGCAGATTCCATGAAGCTGTTCCGCACCGATATTTCCTGCACGGGATAAGAATTCACGAATTTTATTCGCTAGTTCATCGTCCTCTTTGATCTCTTCTGTATCTCCAAAACTTGGGGTGTCGATGACTGTCAAGGTAAATGGCACAGCGAATCCTTTTTGCTTGTGTAGAACATATGTCGTGATCCACGTGGTCTGACTGTATGCTTGCGAATTCTTTCCTTTGTCCTCGATCAACTTGAAACGGAAGTCATCTTCCCACTTCACATTGTATAAGTAATTCACCATTCCATTGATGAAGGTTTTCTTTCCTAGGGTAAGAAAGAAGTTCTCTGGTTTTAATTTTTCATTCGTCTTACATCCTATAAGAACTCAAATTATGATTTAACCTGCTCTTGAGGCTCCAACAACCATAAGCACCTTTCCGATTCCCTCAGTGTTTCCCCTGTCGCCAATTTCATATTTAGCTACTCCATACTCGGCATCTTCCATCACTATCTTCTTTGGCAGGCGATAAATGAACCCGTCGTTTTCCTTACACTGGTTCCTCATTTTATGGGCAAGGGAGAACTGGTTGGTTTCTCCTTCTCGCCCCGCCTACGGTGGTAGAACTAGGTTAAAGACATGGTTTCCAAGAGGGAGGTTCATATGAAGTATGTACTTTCATCGTCTTTCATCATGAATTCTAGGTCAGCGGCAGTGCTTAATCGAGGTTGAGCGTCAGGTACTATGTAAATTTATTTCTATTATGTCTGTCGATTGGTGATCATCTGGGACGATGCAACGAGGTTCAAGGAGGTTAATTCGAGTATATACTCTGAATCACGCACATTGTGAGGGTCACACCTTGGTGACAGGTATATTATTTTAATTTAGCCCTCTATTCTTTATGTGAAAATATGGCAAAAAATATGCCGATTTTAACTTAGAATATCAAATATCAAGTTAATGTTGCTAATATCACTTTTTTGGTAACTTTATACAATGAGTAGTAACGCTACGTCCCAATGAACATTTTTCTGAAATCTATATGTATTTTACCAATTTTGCAACGAACCCCGAATGCGCAAGTTTAAAATGAATTGATATCCACTTGATTTCCTTGTATCCCAGAGCTCAAATTCCCTTGCTTGAGGGGTTTTTTTTCTTGGTACGTTAT